GACCCCCATGCACAGCTGCAGCAGGAGCTCATGGCTTCCTTTGCTGAAGTACTTGGTGCTTTCCCAGGCAGGACCTCACTAGCTTATCATTACAAACGATGTGCTGGGATCGGTTCTGCCACACGCAGGTAACACTTCTTTAGTCCAGGGCCTCCTCCAGGAGAAGGCCAGGCTATCCGCTCTTGTGGACTTAATGATACAAAGACCTTACGAGACAAGGGGACCACCACGCAGAGGCTGGTCCGGTGGCGTGCAGGAGGCAGGTTTCTAGAATGGGGGCAGGAGAGCGAATGCCAGAACAGAGTGGAAGACCGGAGTTCAGAGAAGGACAAAGGAATGAAAACTGGATTCATTCATTTGTCCATCCAGTGCCAAACATGGGACGCGGTGCTGAGACGCCGGCTGTCTCACAGTCGAGCTGGACACGGGGCGAGCAAAGGGACAACTCTACTTCCCAAGGTGTCAGGGAGGAGAGAAAGTCGGGCCCTGGGCACCAACAGCAGCTCTCCCAGCCTCTTCCCAGAGGGAAAGGCTGGGCCAAGGCCTGAGGCAGCGAGAGGAGGTGGGGAAGAAACCGGGCAGGAGTGTTTATTTGCAGGGCTGGAGGAAGGCTGTGACCCAGCCGCACAGGGCAGGAAATCTCCCAGACAGGAGTGAGAGGGCCTGGGGGATGGGTGGGCATCAAAAGGCAGAGGCTCAGTTCAGCTGCCCCAAGACTGGGAACGCAGGCACTTCCTCCAGGCTGGGCCGCCTCAGGTCAACCTTACTCTGGCCTCAGTTTCCCCATTGCACTGAAGGGAAATGAAGAGGCAAAGACTTTGAGCTCTGGGCATGAAAGGCTCAGCCATGGCTCAGACCACCACTCCTTATAAAACAGGGTGGATGCCGCCGCTGCTGTTTTTGGCTGCAGAGTGGCCCATCTCACCTCTTTGAAGATGAAACACGCTGAGGCCTAATGAGGAGTCAGTCGGTCGGGGTGGGCGTGGAGCCCAGTCACCTGCCCCACCTGGCCCCTCCCAGTCAGAACAGCACCCAGCCCAGGGGACAGAACCCAGCCCAGGGGCCTGTTTCACACTTCCGTGCCCGCGCATCCTCCTCTGCCCGGGCCTCCCTCACTCAGAGGCAGAGGTGTAGGGGAGCGCAGCAGAGGTGGTCTGAGGTGGTCTCGGGCTGCAGTGAAGGCCTTCTGAGAGCTGCCTGGGCCTCGCCTGCCCCTCCACTGCCCTGGACCGGTGCACACCACCCTTCCGGGCTCTGCGAGCTGCACAGGGCCTCCCTGCTTTCAGACCAAACATGTCATTTCCAGTATGGAGGCCGACCAGGGGGAGGCTTTCAAACCTGCTTTAGGTGTGTGAGAATTGTCCTTTAAAGAAAAGGCATCCTCGGCCTGCTCGCTGTCCTTCGTCCCCAGCTGTCGAAAGGACGTCTTCTGCCGCCTACATAGCCTCTGAACCACGGCGAGTCGCGCAGGAACCACACCTCTGCTAGGTGAGGCCCAGGACTGGCCCCCAAGGTGCCTGCAGGCCACACTCTCCACTTAGCCAGACCAGACGTGACCCTCTTTCCTCTCTCGTGCCACTCGCCTTCTTGTTCCTTGCCCCCTGCCCAGGCCTCCTTGATTTCTATTCAGACAGACCACCCCAGGGCTGACCCCCACCTCCTTCTAGAGGCCCCATAACCAGCCCATAACCAGCTCGTTTCTGGGGAAATACTTGGCACAAGAGAAGGGGCATGCAGACAGCTCACGCTCTCCTGGGAGGCAGCAGCCTCATAAATGCACTAATACTAGACACAACCGAAAGACAACTTTCCCCACATGTTTCAGAAGAGGAGCGTGCACCTGGGGATGAGCATATCTCTTTAATGGTTCATTTGTGTTCATTAAGTAATTAATCCATTTATCTGATTTGCAGAGTGATGCCCAAAGGTTGGACTTTTGTATCAACATCCAGCCTCCGAGTGCGTTTCTGGAATTACCACCTTCCCCAATTATGACGATCCCTATCTCCATTCTTCATCCCCGAGTCCCCAGGGGCAGGAGAATGCACCGAGGTTTAAGCCCTCTTCCCCCGGAAGCTGGGCCTGGGACGCCCACTCTGAAGCCCTCACACCCACCACCATCCCTGCTCTGACATTCACTCAGGGACTCATAGGCCTCACTGTTCCAAACTCCACAACCTGCAGGCCCTGGGGCACCTCGTTGCTCCTGACTCCCATCAGAGCTTGGCTTTCAGGAAAGCCGGGCAATGTCTGGAAAGTCAATTAGGAAAAACTGGGGACAGGCCAAGGACTCAGCCTCAGTGATACCCATAGTGAAAATGCATAGGGAGGCTGGGCCCAACTCTGCCTGCAGAAGGGATGCCCTGCACGTCTAGACAACCTGCGCTTATCCTGAGGTGCTCCCATCCCCTCGCTGGCATCCGGCTCCTGCATCCTCCCTAAACTGTGCTGTAAGGCTAACTGACAACCCCAGATCAACAGAAGGCACACCAGCAGGGACAGGCGGACATTCGGCCCCTATGCCCGCACACAGGGCGTCCCCCGCCTGCAGCACGGGTAACAGCACTAATTACAGGTGAGACGCTGAGCACCTCCGCTCAACACAGGGAGGCCGCCTGTTGGTCTGCCCTGGCATGGCCCTGGGGTTCTGGAAGGACCCGCAGGCCATGCAATGTGCACAGCCCTGCCCTTCCCTGTTACCTGTGGCGGAGGCAGGCGGGTGCTGGGTGCTCACTCACCTTGTGGTCCAGCTCGGCACTAGCCTTTGGCTGTTGCTCCTGGGAGGGTGGCAAGGGCACAGAGCCCAGGTACTGCCTGAGAGATGATGGCCTCATGAGGCCCAGGAGCCGGCTGAGCGAGGACAGCTGGGGAGGAGAAAGGAGGTTGTCACTCACAGAGGGCGGTGGCCGAGCCGAGAGCTCGGGGTACTCCCAGGACTTGGCCTGGACACCTCAGCTGATGGCAGTGGGTTAGAGCACTGGCTTCTGAGACCCA